GAAGGGATGAAGGAGAGCACCCGAGAGATGGGGAGGTCAGGGAGGCCTCGCGGAGGGCTCTGCCTCTGGGACCAATTCTGCTGACCAGCTGGCTTCGTTTATGCATTTGTCCTTTGTAGAAATTCCTTACTGTTAAGAAAAAGCATTTGACACATTTCTAATTAACCCTCAGCCTCTGCAATCTTCTTATTCCCAAATGCAACAGCTGACTCATCTCATGACCAGTAATAATATTCGTAGTTCCTGCAGTTATCCTCCAGAACCAGGGTCACTCCTCCCAGATTCTGGTGGGACCACAGAGGACCTTTCCGCCCCCCACCCTCCACCCTGCCATCCTGGGGCAGCAGCATTTGGCCCCTGGTCCTGGGGTTGCAGGGAGGGAGGCAGTGCTCCTGAGGAAGCACTGTTGGGGAACCTGAGTTGCTCCCCACCCACTGGCCCACACTGACCCCAGACGAGGCACTCGCTTTCTCTGGGCTCCAGTCCTGCACCAATGTTCCACACAGCTACCCACTCCTCTTCCTTCCCTTCCTGCCAGCAACAAGTGCTTACTGAGCACGTACTATGTGCGGCTACATGCCAAGCGCTGTTCTAAGTGCTGGGGAGACCACGGGGAGCTCCTGGCCTCATGGGGTTTACACCCCAGTGGCAGAAACCAATCTGAAAAGCCAAATAGGAGATCTAGGACTGATAAGACTCTTGGAGCTCCTTTCAAAGAGCCAGGTCCTCTCCTTGATGGTTTATAAGAAACTTGGCTTAGAAATAACGTTCCCTTAGGTACCGTGGTGCCTTCAGTGCTGGCAGTGGGGATGGTACGTGCCACTGATGGCTGGAGGACCTCTGCGGGCACCAGTCTCTTCGTCTGGGCAAGGGAGAGGGTCACCCCCTTCCTCACAGGGTCATGGTGAGTATTCGGAGATCTTGCTTTGGCACAGTGCCTGTTGCCTGGTAACATACGTTCTGTTCACCATGTCTGCCTCCTTTTCTGCTTAGAGCCGACACGGCGGTCTAACCAGTCCCCCTCACCCACCGTCCGGGTCCCTGCTGCAGCTGCAGGCTGGGCAAGAGGCGTCTAAGCTGACGTAGTCTCAAGGGTGATGGGTATGCTGGCAAGAATGGACACCCAGCAGCAGCTGGGGCCCCGCACGCTGCCTCTGCCCCCTCCAGGCTGCTGAGCACAGGCTCTAAAGAGACAGGCAGCCATCCCCCGGTGGGGCAGGACAGTCATCCTTGTTGGGCCGGTCCGAGCTCTGTCCTCCTTCGCAGCCCTGGTGAGCAATCCCCCACATGTGCCCGGGGCAGGCCTTTTGAAAGCCCCTCCCCCGGAAGCCAGCGGCAATACCTGTACGAGGGGCGACATGGGGTGGGGGCCTGGGCGGCTTACCAGCCCCGGGGTTTACATGCTTTATTTCCTACCTTTCCCAACAGTGCTGCAAGTTAAGGGCTGTCAATACCCCTTACAGTTGAGGCAACTGAGGGTAAGAGTTTGCCCAAGCCACTCTCCTAATACGGGACAGAACCAGCATTTGAATACAGGTGGTCCCACTCCAGAGCCAGGGTCTCACCCGAACTATACAGCCTTCCTCCCTTCTGTTATCCACCCCCACATCAAATGCACAGGGGCAGAGAGTTCCCTGGGGCCTCTGGGAGCACCCAGGGCACATGGCTTTGCCCAGCTGACCTGAGTGCTGGCTTCGACAGCTTTAATAGAGAAGGCCCATGCGGAGAGCAATGCCACATTTTGGAAGAAAATGCCCAAGGAACCAGCAGTCCAAAAGGGCACAGTTGGAGGGACCTTGGAGGTCATCTCCCTGAATCCCTCCTCTTCCAGAGGAGAAAATGGAGGCCCCAGTGGGGAGCTGAGGTCCCTGCACACAGAACTTCTGACCACCCTGCAGACCGCCCAGTGTGCTCAGAAGCCCTGTCCTGGCACCCAGACACTGGCGTGGGGAACAGACTCAAATCCAGCCCCACCTCTTCCCTGCTGTATGGCTCTCGTCGCCCGCCCACCCAGTTTCCCCAGGTCCGGGTCTGCGGGGGCTGTGGTGCTTCAGAGATCACAGATGTGAGGAGCCGGCTCGGCTGCTGGCACCTGCTGGGTACCCAGTGAACTACAGCTATTATTACTGCTCGTGTTCAGTGAATGCTGGGCAACACCAAGTCTCTTAGGTGTCGCTTTGATTCTCTGGTTCCGCTGGACTCCATTCCTAGGACCAGAGAGGATACAATGCTCACTGTCATCTCTGAACACTGAAATCCATCTCAGGGAGGGCTGAGCCTCAGCCCTACACCTATTCAGGATTCAAATCTGGAAGAAAGCCCATGGGCTGTAGCTGAGGCGGCAGCCCCAAGTTCCTGGCTCTTCCAACGTGCCTGTTACTTGAGGCCCATCACTTAACCTCTGCCTACGTCAAATTTCCGTCGGCCAAATGAGCATGGTAATAACCGGCCTCCTTACCTGCACCCCTCCACCCCTGCTCTCGGGGGAGTGGGGGGAATTTTACTGTGTCCATCTAAGGGAGGGCTGGCTGTGAAGTCAAACATCACCCAGAGAGGCTATGTCCCTATGGGTTTTTCTCGTGGTGGTGGCATGGGGGTGCATGGGTGGGGGCAGACAGCCTTCTGTTCCAGACAGAGCTACCAGGGAGTGACAATTGGTACAGAGGCATAGCATCTTCACCACTGACCCCTGGGGAGTAAGAGGTGAGACATGCAAAAATCCTGCCAAATTCCAGCTCCTCCTTCCCTCCCTCTCCTCGTACAGCTCTCCTTCTCGAGCCATCAGAGACCCCATCAGCCTGATTTTGATTTCCAGCTTCATTCCCCATGCCTAGGGTGAGTTTGAAGCTTCTCACTAGGGGGTTGATGTAATGTCTTTGGATCCCATGTCCTCTTACCTGGTTTTCTCAAGACCAGAGGCAGCTAGACATGCATAGGCCAGGGTGGGCTGACGGAAGGAGCCCGTGGCAACAGAGGGCCATTCCCCAAGTCTTTCCACTTCGCTGACCTGAGAGCCTATGTGAAAGTGGGGCACAGGAGGGCAGTTCCTTTACATTTTTTTTTAAAGATTCCATTTATTTATTTGAGAGAGAGACACAGCAAGAGAGGGAACACAAGCAGGTGGAGTGGGAGAGGGAGAAGCAGGCTTCCCGCTGAAGAGGGAGCCCGATGCGGGGCTCGACCCCAGAGCCCCGGGATCATGACCTGAGCCGAAGGCAGACGCTTAACGACTGAGCCAACCCAGGCGCCCCCCATCACATTTTCTTGTTGTTTGGAAATGCCTGTGGGGCCTGACTCTTAAGCAGCAAGGTTTTCCTGGCTTCCCCCAGAGGACATGACCGCTGGTCAGTGCCATGATTCCTGCGGAAACCAGGCTATGGCTTGACAGTGGTTTTCTCTATCTCTGGAAATGAATCCTGGCCTCTATGGCAGTCTAATTAAACCCCCCAGGCAAGAGACCCCAGGAGAGCAAGGCTGGCCCACGGCTCCTGGGCCAGTGGCATCTCCACACCCATCTCCTGTTGTTCCTGACTGCCACCTGGCTTAGGCCGTGGATTCCCTGCTACCCTCTGTGAGACCCTCTTTGTACACTCTCTTTCCAGGGTCCTATTCTCGGTGGGGCCATTTCTGGACTTGCCGACATGTCCTCGCGGTTTGTGTTCTGAGTGAGGAAGAGGGTACTGCAGTGGCAACGATGATCTTTCTGCAGCAAAAACTCGTTAGGCTTTTCTTTCTTCATTTTACCTCATTCCAACAGAAACGGAATGAGCATCTATTACACGCATGGTTCAGTCCTGCATGTTGGAGAAACAGGGTGCTGATGGGGGTCACTGATGGGGGTGGCTGGGGAAGGCATGAGCTGTGACCTCACCTTTGCCTGATTCCTGAGGCAGCTTCATTTGGAGTCGGGGACATTATGTGGGCCGGGACCCTCCGTGAGAGCCAGGGTCCAGGAGCACCAGCACCAGCAAGAAGCAAACTCCCCGCCAACTCTGCCCCTGGCATTCCAGGGCCCAGCCTGCCCAAAGTCAACTCCCAAGTCCTTTCCAGCATCCTGGGCCCCAGCAATACCAGGCAGCTCTCTTTTCTGGAACACATCAAGCACTGCCATCCTCTGGACCTTTGCTCTGGTTATTCATGCATCTAATACCTTGCCCTGTCCTGCCTCTTAAGAATTTATTCAAAGGTTTATCCACCTTCTGTGAGAAGTCTTCTCTAAGACTACCTTGCAATACATTATTTCTTCCTCTGTGATCCCAGCTTAGTTTATGTAACATCTACTCGCTGTGAGTCTGCTCTGGGCCCGACACTGCTGCTCTTCTAGAACTCATTTAGCCCACCTTGCCTTCTGCTCTGAACACGAGCAGTTCACACAGAAGTCTCAATGCCTCCGGGGCTGGGGCAGTGATTTCTGCGTCCGTGTCTCACACCACCGTGTTTTGCACTTTGTGGAAAGGGCAAACGGAGAGATGGCTTCTAGACTGGGCTCTGCCCACTAATTAGTCGTGTGGCCTCGGGCCAATCTTCCAGCCTCTCTGGTCTCCTTTCTCCCTGACAAATAGCGGTGATAATACCTCATGGTTGTTCAGGGGAAATGAAAGGTCTGGAGGGAAGCCTCCTGAAAGCTGGGAGCCCCAGGCCAATGGAAGATGTGGGGTAGTTGTATCCCCATTCTTTCCCTGGCGGTGAAGCAGAGTCGCACCCACTCCGCTCTCTTCAAATGTCAAGTGCACCAGCTTCCAATCCCTCCTCCGGGCGGGCCCTCGGGCGGCTCGGAATCCTAGGCTGCGGAGGATTCCCGTGCAAACTCCAGACTCTCCTCTCGCCCAGCCGTCCCTTCCCGAGGCCTCGCAGAACACACCTTAAACCCCGCGCCAGAGCGCAGTTCCGAGCGCAGCCCAGAACTGCAGCTTCGCGGCGCGGGCCCGGGTCGGGGTCGCGCATCTCCAGCCGGTGACTCAGGGCCGCTCGGGCCGGGAGCGGTGGGGGGGTGTGGAAGTAGGCGGGACCGACCAGGGCCGCGCGGGGGCAGCCACCGGGCGTTCGGGCGCTGAGCGGTGGGAGCGGAGGCTGGCTCTGGCCCGTCGCCATTCCACCGCGGGCGTCTGGCTCGCGGGGCCTTGCTCCCGCGCCGCTTCGCACCGGCCGTGCTCCTCTCCCGGTGCGCAGCGGCCCAGGCGGCCGGCGGTGGCCGGAGCGCGGGGCAGGCTCTGCGCGCGAATGAATGGGCGCCCGGGGGACGCGCGCGCTCGGGGCTGAAGGGCATTAGGACCGTGAGGATCGCTCCGCGCTCCTGTCTCTCCCTATCACCCCCCACCCCCCACCTCTCTCCCTTTTCTGCTCTGCAGGACTGAGCAGCCAGGCGCGAGCGAAAACAAACAGCTGGGGCTGCGAGCGCCCCCACCCCGGCCCCGAGAGCAAGCCGGCCCGGGCCCCCACTCGGGGCGCCCGCCCGCCCACCATGAGGAGGATCCGCGCCAATGCCATCGCCATCCTGACCGTTGCCTGGATCCTGGGCACTTTCTACTACTTATGGCAGGACAACCGAGCCCACGCAGCATCCTCCGGCGGCCGGGGCGCGCAGAGGGCCGGCGGGAGGCCAGAGCAGCTCCGCGAGGACCGCACCATCCCGCTCATTGTGAGTACGCCCTGCGCGCCGGGCGGCCGGCCGGGGAGCCGCGGCGCGCGTCCTTCGCCCCGCGCGGCTGCAGAGGGCGCGGGGCCGGGGGCTGCGTGCCCGCCGCGCCCTTCCGGCTTTGTATATGTTGGAGCATTCCTGTCCGTTGTTATGGCAACCTCTGTCGGGCCAGCAGGGCCAGGGCGCAAGGATGGAGGGAGGGTGACAGAGGGTGGGGGCTGGGAGAAAGTGCTGCAAGTTTGGTGGGCCCGGCGTGCGCGCGCGACTGGGAACGTGGCTCTCTCAGCACTGCGCCGCCGGAGCCGGGGGCCGGGGGTCGGGGGCCGGGGGCTGCCCGCACCTCGCCCGCCCCAGGAAGGAGGCTGCACCGTGCGCGCAGCGTGCCGGCAGTGGGAACCTCGCGCGGCTGAGCGCGTAGGTGGCGGTGCGCACCCCTTCTCTAGTCTCCGGGGGGCAAAGGACGTGGGGTGGGGGCGCTGGGTAAGGCAGGGTCGCTCGGGGCTGCGCCCGGCTTTGCGCCCCCTTTTCGGCCCGGATCAACTTGAACTTGCTTCTCTGGCACGGAGGACTCCCCCACTAACACCCGCGGCATTCTCTGGGTCCGGGAAAGGTCTCTTCCCGTATGCGCCCTTCACCCCAACACGAGGGTCCCTCATGACGGGCGAGCTGGCAGTGTGTGCGCTAGGGCTGGGAGATTCCCTCTCTCGAGGTCAGCTCCGCGGGGAGACAAAGGTGGCGGAGCACGGCGGGGGCCTCCGCGGCGCTGCCGGGGCCCTAGGCTCTCCGGGGACTTGGGCTTGGGCGTGCGGAGCCCCCGCCGCCCTGCAGGGGGCGTTGCTGTCGCCGCCTCCGCCCGGGCCCCGTGTGACAGCCCTGTGTGGCAGGGGCACCTGTTGAGGCGGGCGGCTCTGGGACCGGCGGAGAGGCGCGGTCGGGCGGGGCCGGTGGCGGGCGAGAGCCTTGGGCGACCCTCGGGACAAGCTGCTGGGCTGGGGCGGCTTGACCAGAAGAGGACCAGGAGGAGGGAGAGCAAAGTGTGGGGGCTGAGGGTGGGAGAGTAGAGCAGGGTGGCCATTCCGATGGGAAAGATCTGGGCCTGGGGAGGGAAGAGTGTGGAGCTCCTCCGGGAGGGAGGTGCGGGTTCAGGAGGGCGAAGGCTTGTGTGGAGTAGAATCTGGGGTATTTCTGCAAAGGCAACTGAGCCCCAGGAATATGGAGGAGGCGGCTGTCGGTGTGGAAGTGTTCTCAGATTCCCAACCTGCCCCAGATGCCGTGTCTTGTCAATCCCCCCCCCCCCCCCCCCGCCCTGCCCCGCCCAAGAAGGTAAAAAACCCCTGCAGAGGAACCATATTTCCTAGCCTTGCCTGAGGAGACCTTGGGGTTTATGGGTTTTCCCCAGCCTCCCTCTCCCAATTCCCAGATTCCTGTCTGGTTGAACTCTGTGGGTGAGCCTCATTAGGTGGAGTGTTCCCTTCTGAGCTGAGGGTCCCTGCCACTAGGAACTGTTCCCAAAGCACTTGAGGATGTTTGGATGGAAAGGCTGATGAGGATAAAGCCTCCAGTGTAAAGACCCCAGGGTATTGGGATCTGGGCAGACTGACAGATTGGAGTGGGAACTGGCCGAACCAGTCAGTAGTGGCCCCAGACCGGCAGGGAGCTTGCGCAGGCGTGGGCCCATCTGAGAGCAGCCCGTTCTTACATCCTGCGAGGGCCAGCCCTGGTCTCAGGGTAGGTGGGCTTGGAGTGCCGGGAGAGGCAGGCTGGCCAGATATTCTGTCCTTTGCTCTGGTGACGTGCGGGGTGGAGGGTCTGAGCTGGAAGGGGAGGAGGAGGGGAGGATGGAGGGGAGAGAGGAATGGAAAGGAAGAGAGCTCAGGGAAACTGCCGATTGGAGCAGAGCCCAGGTTGGGTCTCCTCACAGTTGTCTGTCCTTCCCAATCCTGACCTTGCTCTTGAACCTATCCTCACTTCTCCTTGCCCTCTGAGATCTGCTGGGAAGGCAGCTCAGACCGAGAGCCCTGGAATGGTGGGGTGGGCTCTGGGGGAGGCACGTGGCACTTGTTTTGAGGGGTGGAAATTGGAGATCATGAGGGGGTGCCAGTGAACATCCTCTGGCCCTCTCCTTGTTCCCATGGGGTTCGACTTGCTGCAGATTGGAGCAGGGCTGTGAACTGGAAGCTAAGTTTAAAGTGTGCAGGAATATCAGGAAGATCCCGGGAGCCAGGGAGTGGAGGTGCAGGAAGAGAGGGAGAGTGGGAGTTCCGGGGAGTGAGCCGCAGACTGTTCTCTGGCCACCTAGGGGCACGGCCAGCTCCCTCTCTGTTCTTCAGTTTTAGCCCTGGGTGTCTGTTCCATAGGCATTGGTCCCCAGTCACACACCTCCCTGGACACAGGCTTGCATTGTCTTCCTACCTTCCAAGGTATTTCACTTCAGGAGGATTCTTAGTCATACACGCTGTCACGCAGGAACTATGCTGGAAGCTTCTTACATCTCCATATTGATGCACACAGCAAGACTTAATAAGTACTTGTTAGGCGAATGAAGTAGGACTTCTGCCTGGCTCTGGGAGCAGACAAGCTTCATACCCCCCTCCCCCCAGTACTTTGTTCCTGCCTCCAACCTGACTGTAACCAAAGAGATAGGGGAATGCATGTTCATCTTCTCCGAGAGTCGGACCCTATGTCCAGCCTAAAAGGGGCAGGTGCAGCTGAGGATTGCTTTCTCCCAGAACGCTGTGGTGAACCTCTCACTGGTCTTGCCATTCCAAAACATGTCTCTGTCTAGTTGGGCCAGGACACTGCATGTGGGTTTTCAAATTCTTAGGGAATGATGTGGCCAGCCCTGCTGACAGAGGCTGAGAAAATTCAGACAGGCGTCATCATCACTCCCCTGGGGAATCAGAGAACAGAGCTGGGAAAGGGAGGGTCTGCCTAACAGCCTGGGCCAGGGGGGCAGCTCTGCCTTCACAATGTCTGGGCTGTTCGAAGCCAGCCAAGTTGCTTCTAGACCTTGGAGGCGCTGTTTGGCATTGTGGGGTGTCGGCATAGCAACCGTATGGCCCGGATTTCTCAGGGAGGTCCTGATTTTTAATATTCTGTCCTGCTGTCAGCCCATGTGTCACAAATTTTGATGTGAAAAATTGGTTACGGAATGTGTAAAACTATAGGGAGATACTGACTCCATCCCTAAACGGCTGCTTATGATGTGGCAGGGTTTGTGATTTTTCCATGCTGTATTTTTGGGGCAAGGCAGTGGATTTGGGGAAATCCACTTGAATCTACATTGACGCATGCTGGGTCCGGTCAGCAGCTGAAGCAGGCGGCCGCGCAGACACGGCCGGCCTTCAGTCTTCAGACCTCGCAGTAGGGAAGAACATTTGTGATTGGTTTGGCACCCAGGTTCTCCATATGCTAGTTCTCTAAGAGGCATGGGTGGGATGCTAAGGTGTTACACGGAATTTCACTTTGCAGACATATTTTTAAAAGACTGTCCATTATGAATATTTTCAGGATAGGGGTACTCATTTGCAACATTTCCTGTTTGGAACCGTGAAAGTCTTAGGCATGAGTTTTCTTAAACTGGAGTTTTCTTTTTTCTTTTCTTTTTTTTTTCAAGATTTCATGTATTTATTTGAGAGAGAGAGGGAGAGAGAGCAGGCAAGTTCAAGCAGGGGGAGAGGGAGAAGCAGACTCCCCGTCAGGCAGGGAACCCGACATGGGGCTCAATCCCAGGACCCCGGGATCATGACCTGAGCCGAAGGCAGACGCTTAACGACTGAGCCACCCAGGCGCCCTGAACTGGAGTTTTCTTATCCTCCAATTGGAATACTGGTGATGACCATGGACAAAATATTTATATCTCTGGACCTTGGTTATTTTATGTCAAATTGGGATTAAATGATTTGTAAGGTTTGTTGATCCTTAGACAAGCTGATGAGAACTTCATTTCTAGAAGCAAATAAATGGCTTTAAGGGAATTTTCCTGAAGGGTGTTGTGAGGTTTATTGCTTGTGGAGGGGCAGGCCTCTGTCAGGAGAAGGTCCTGCAGTGACCCCCGAGGCCTCTAAGGGATCCCTGTTTACCTAGCAGCAGGGGGACACAGGTGACTGACGGCTTTTCTGTGCCGTTCCCTGAGAGCAGAGGCTTCAGTCAGATCGGGATGGGTTTATATTTTATTTATAATGTGTGCATTTAGGAACTGTGGGAATAGAGTTTGCCTAAAGGACAGAAAATGATTTTATAGTTCATTTGTCTTGGCGCCACACACAAGAGCGAGCATGGGGAGGATTCGCGAACACCCGCAGTTCCCCTTGCCAAGATGCTCAGATTGGGAAGCGCCTGGTCTCCCGTCACTGGCGTCCCAGCCTGGGTCATGTTGCGACTTGACCGGAGGACTTGGGGACAGCACAGAGGCACCAAGACTGGTAAGGGCCTGAGAGCCCAAAAGTCACCTCCCTGGGAGCCTGAGGCCCGAGGTCCCAGGATTCTAGGGTGCAGCTCACTCTTCCGATGGGCCCCATACTTCGGTGTAGGAGCAGCAGTTCCCGCCACTGGCTGCTTGCATCTCTGGAAGTCGAGTTTATCAGCTCTGCGAGCAGAGGAAGCCCTCGGGCCTGGAAATGCCATTTCAGGAGACGTGGAGGGGCGCAGGAGAGGCCGGCTGAACTGCCCAGGAAGCCGTCTTGCCGCAGCGGAGGGAACCGCCCTGGGGTCAGAGGGGAGCGTGTATCTGAGCAGTTCATTACAGTTAGCAGATTGAAGATTTAGCCCCTGGCTGCTTCTGGAGGAGACCCGAAACACCTTCCCTGGGACCTGGGGGCAAAGACACAAGGAGGCTAACTAGACCGGAAACCCAGGGTTTCGGAGAGGAGCATCTCAGACCGGAGTCAGTGATGATCACACCCGCGCAGCTGAATCAGACAGTTTGCTGGGTGCACTTGCCAACGGTGCAATGGCTCTGGAAACGGTCTGCAGGGCCTTCGTGTGTCTTCTGTACACGG